ATATATATATATATATATATATATATATATATATATATATGGAAAATACTATGCAATGCTTATAGAAAAAAATAAACAGTGATTTCGCCTACCTCCATCACCATCTAAAGTTCATCGTGCGATCACAATTGTCCGGTAGTGTTTCATTTTTTATTTTTTTTCTACAAATCGGAATGACTTGAAACTTAGAGCGTGTATTCATCAAAAATAGAGAAATCCTCGAAAACTATAAAAAAAATATTTTACATGAAAAAAATTAACCAAATACCTCCAAAAAGTTTCGGAGGTATTTTAGTCAATTTATTTTTAGCGGATAGTTTGTTTTATATTTTTATTAGATGAGCCTCAGTAAGATGTATATACTCTCAAAATTTTAGGTCATTCCGATTTGTAGAAAAAAATGAAAAAATAAAACACTATCGGACAATCGTGACCACAAGATGAAATTTAGACAGTGATGAGGTAGATGAAATCACTATTCATTTTCGCCTATAGACGCTGAAAATACTTTTCAGATATATATATATATATATATATATCCACGAGGTTACTTTTGCTTAAAAGAAGTAAACTTTCCATCTTGAAAAAAGAAATCAAGCCTCTTCTATTCACGGCAGAGCAACGAGAGCTGCCTGTTTCAAGGTCCATCCCATCCTTCCCATTATATTAGAGCAAACCGCATGTTACAAATCTTTATCCACTATAGGAATTTCAGTTCAATAATTTTCTTTTTTCTTTCATTTTCGAATATTGATAAACCTTTTGCTAAATAACAGCCAAAGTTTGTGATGATACTAGTGGTGAATGAGGCAGAGTTTTGACTAAGTTGTGATGAACCAAAATTGGAATATCTCGGGCCAAAATCCGTTACCATGGACCATGTTTTTTTTAGCTCACCTCGAGCCTTGGGCTCGGTCCTAGTCTCGGTTGAGTGACTCAGTTGAGTCTAAGTGAATTCAGCTGAGTAGAGTATAGGGCCCAAAATGCCATAAAAACTTAAAAAGAAACTAAAAATAAAATAAAAAATGTAAACGCGAAATAAATCCAAAGGAGCACCAAAAGTCCAAAAAAGCTAAAAGAACATAGAAAATATGGATTTAGAAAAAATGAATTATATTTAGGGACATTTTAGAAAGAAAAAAAAAACATAAAAACAGGCAACATGACAACAACAACAAAAAACTCATAAATTCATTATAAAAGGTCATCATTATTATATAATTTTTATACTTTGATTTGATATTTTCTTTTTTTATTATTTTTAAAAAAAATTAAGTGGCCCGAGTTGCACCCGAGTGCTCAGCATGACAAAGGGCCAAGAGTAACTCAGCCGAGTTTTCAATCATTGGCGTGGATACTTGTATATATTAAACCTTATTTTTGGGTTTTATTTCTTTTTAAGGACCCCCAAGCAAGAACCAAAATATCATTTATTGATTTGAAGTTTGGCCAAAACTATATAAGGTCAACCCGAAAATTAGGAAATTGAGCTTAACTTTGCTTTGTAATAAATAAGACGAAGGGGGAGGAAGCATTTATTTCTAAAGAAAAGGCACCCATTTTGGTTACTACAAGGAATTTAAATATTTGAACATTGAAAAACAATTGAGGACCAGCTCATAATCGCTTTCAGAACCCCAAGTTGGCCACCCCGTTTCTATTATCTCCCAATTTTAGTCACCACTTTGACTCTATCTTATTATTTGTAGCGTGTGGCGAAGGGAAAGATGAAAAGTGCAATTAAAAGGGATTTCACACACAACCACTCCTTCTTATGGGGTCAATAATTCTCTGTCTTTGTTTATTTATTTATTTATTTATTTTATAATTCCGTGTTTTCATTCATTTTCAACCATTGTTATGGAGGATACCGACACATTTTTTTTATTATTATTTTTTTTTTTTATCCTAGGAGTGTAAACATTTTAGAAATAGAAATAGATAAATTCTCGACATGGATGGTGGAAACCGTTGCCCGGGCAATCGCCAACGTCATTGTAGCTACGCCTTGATCTCCAACATATTCAAAACCCGAATTAATAGAGTGGATTATCCACCCCAGATATCTGTGTCAAATCCTTTATTCGGATAGACGAGATCGGTGATCTAAAAAATATTTAAAAATATAAATAAAAAATATAATAGGGATATGTATATATGAGATTATATACTATGAGACCATTTATCTTCCTTACAAAGAGGTCCCCGATGTTATCTCAAATTGGATTGTTTGAGGTGTGTTACACAGTTCGAGAATAACTTTTTTCAAATTTGAGTGTTATGTTAGAAAATGTATTTTTGTATATTTGAGCCTTAAACCCATTGATATGAATAACTATTAACTAATATTATCATAATCAAAAGACTCTTAAGAGAGATATATACATACATATACATATCTCATTATGTATTAATAATGATGCATGTTAATATAAATATACATACTCTAGATTATGTCCTCCTTCTATTAAAAGTAAATGACCTCTCGTGTGCGTATATATGGTGGAAGAAATTGGTTTTTAAAATACCACTGGTATGTATCATAGACAAGCAGTTTTTAGTAGCTTTTTTTTAAAAAAAGCTAGTACTAACAATCTGAATATTTTATCCTATTTATCTCATGTTTGCATGCCTTCTAACATAAATCTTCCTCAATTTCCTAAACCAACCCTTGTCCTTAGAATTATTGCCAAAAGTAGCTTGAATTTAGCTGCATTGGATCTCCATACTAGAAAAACAAGGATTCCCGTTGAAAAAATAAAATACCTACAACTTTTCCCCGTGTAAAGAAAGGCCAAAGACGAGGAAATTCAAACATCTTCATTGCTAATCGGATCTAACAAGAACACCATTAATAAAAAGCAAGTCAAAAACCCTTCGACATTTTGTTATTTATACTTTAGAAAGGGTGTAGGGATCCATCCATGCCAAGGTTCGGTTGCACGAACCCGCCTAGGAATCCCAGCCATGGGCTGGGTCCGAGTAACCCGGAACCAGTATGGCAAACCAGCCCTGATTGGGTAGGTCCCAACTGGGCTAAAAATGGCCTAAAAATATCTAAAAAAAAACCAAAACAATGAAAATTATGTTTAAAGTATAATTAAATAAAAAATGTTCAAATGAGATTAAAAAATAGTGAAAAAAAGGATATTGAAAAGTCAATTTGTACCTAGATTATTTTAAAAATAATTTTAAAAAATAAAAAATATATAAAAATAAATATTTATGGCTAAAACACTTCCCAATCTCCCAATCTTTTCTAAAACATTAGGAAACATTAAGGAACCTAGTAAAAAAAAATATCTTATATTTTTTTCATTTTTCATAATATTTTTTCATTTTTCATAATTTTTTTTAAAAAAAATTGAGTTAAAGGTGATCAAGCCGGTCGACGACCCTAACCAGCCACAAGAAATGACCGGTTAAAAATAGCCCGGCCGGTTCCAATTCAACCCGACGGGTTTCTCAAACACCATCCACCAAAACAACAAAACACCTTTTTCTTCCATCGCCCACGATTGTGGTCAAACAAGTTGCTTACAAAATCGTCTAAATATTGAGGACAGTGTGAAGGCATCTTAGCAACAGCATCACTTACGGCCATAGCTTAACACCTCCAACCACCCCAAACCTCATCTTTTAACCGTATCTAACGCATAAAGTAAAAGAAAATTGTTTCATGGAAGTTATCTAAAGTGTATTGTCCATAAATAAGATATGGACGGCACATAAAAAATTATAAAAATATTTTTTAAAATCTTAAAAGTTTATTTTTTATTTCATATTTATGATCATCTTGGCTTAGATAATAAATCTACAAAAGAAAATTCAAAAAAAAATTATCTAAAATGAATTTTAATGGGGCTGCATATTTACGTACATATGCGTCGGCCGACTCACACAAACCCATTCCTAAAGTAAAACCTCATCTCTGACTAGAGGCGTTTCTCACTTCTTTGACATCCTTATTCAACATGCTCATCGATGGGAAATCTTGGCCAACCCTAATGTTGAAATCATTTTCGATTGTTAATTTAAAATATAATGAAAAAAAGAAAAAGTGAATCAATCGAAAATACTTTGGAGCTACATAGATTTTTCATCCGTCGGTGCGGACAATATGCATTCGACAATGGCATTAATTAATAATATGGTACTTTTATTTTTTTCAAAAAAAATCTATGAACTAATCTAACAGCTAAAAGTGATTGTGATATTGTATATTAAAAATAAATGGTCTTTTTATATTTTATTCATGGATGCAAATGAAAGCCGAGGATACCGATGTTCCGGGTAACACATGACACGTATCCAAACACACAATCATCGCTGTAATCAATATAGAGACCCACTAATCTAGTCTTATATGCGCCCATCTGTGAGTAAGATGAATACTGGATGATCAAAATGCACTTCTCATGGGAACGCAACCAAAAAGCAACAAAATGGATGCACGTTAGGAATAAAATAAATAATCAATCCGATTCTCTGAAAAAATAAAAATTGCCGAGGAGTTATCATTATCATCGTTAATCGTGGTCGGTCGAAAGTCGAAAATCTCTCATTACCCACCCAAAATAAATGGAATTATGGTAGATGCCAAAGCGAACCCACAATTTGTGCACCCACAAATGTTCATATACAAAACAAGAAAAGAGAAAAAGTATCATCCTCTGGTTTTATTATTACTGTCTCATGGATGGATGAGGGAGAAAAGGAAAAGAAAAAAGAGAAGACTGAGGTGTGTACAAACTTGTTTCTCTGGTTTCTGATGAGTGAAATGTGAATATACTCTGTTTTAGTGTAAGCATTCTTTTTGTGGGTGGAGAAGAGATGCCTTCGAGTCTTGAGGGGACAAAAAGGATCGGAAAAATTAACAATAATAAACGCGCATCTCTTCCTCTTCCTCTTCCTCTGTCAATGGACCCCAAGAAGGTATCATCACACATCAGCTGAGCCAAGGAAAATCCCCAACAAAAGTCTCCGCAAAAGCCGATGCGGTGGCGCCACCGCCACCACTTTGGCCCAACTCTTCCAACTCCAGGAACAAGTCATCTTCTTCCACCTCCCCCTCTTCGTCTTCTTCCTCGTCCTGGTGCTTCTGAAGGTCGTTGCTGTTGGCCGCCATATTTAGCGGAGTGGTGGGGGAGAGATGGGGTGGAGAAGAGGCGGGCTTAGGATGATTGTGGGTTGGTGGTGGCTGTGATGAGGTGGTAGTATCGGCCGGAGTCGGGGAGGCTTCAGGTTTGTTCCTGGTGCTTCCGGCAAGGGAGTTTCGATGGGTGGGGAGAGGGTGGTTGTGTTCGGATGTGTAGGTGATTACGAATACTCCAGGGTCAGACCGGCTTCTCTCCACTTGTTTCCTGGCAGAACACCCCTTTGAGCTGCTGCATCTGTAGTAGCCCCTGTAGTGCCATTAACATTCGACATTAAGAACACGAACACATAAATGACTGGAAATCCTCTGCAACTCAATAGAGTATCATTTATATATAACAATAACAATACCTTGGGTAAGGGGAACCCTTAATGGGTTTCTGGCCGTATTTCCTCCACGCCCACATATCAGATGGCAGCCCCTCCGCAGGCACTTGGCACACCACCCGCCGCAACTGGCTCTTGCTGCATTTACATTTCGCCATTCTCATTATCCCCATCTCACTCTCTTTATTTCTCTCTTTCTTTCTCTCTCTAGGATTTTCAGGGCATACCTTCTTTTAGATCGACGAAGATGTGTATGAGAAGCTCCTGACACCGAAAGACCACGCGCCTGCTTCTGCTTCTGTTTCTGAAGCAACGGAGCTTCACAAGATGAATTGTTGGAATAAAAAGGCTTGTACGACTCTTCGAGCTCCATAGCGGGCAACGAGGATACCAGATCTGGGAAAGCAGAGAGGAAATCACCATCACAATCACCATTAACGGCCTGGTCAACCAAAAGCGCAGCAGTGGTGGTGGTGGAGGTGGAGGAGGACTCGATGGAGATCGCGCCACCATCGAACCAAGGGTGGCGAGGAACGCGCTCAGAGGTGCAACCACGCACCACGGCCTGCAAATCCCAGTCGTCCGCAGAAGAGGCCCAGTAGCAGAGCCCACCACCGCCCCTTTCCATATCCTCTTCTCAGACCAAGCTTGTTATTGCCTCGCCTCGGGGTGGGTGAAGCTTGAATTGACAGTAAATGGAAAGAGAGAAAAGCGCAACAAAGCGACGAAGAAGAAGAAGAAGAAGAAGAAGCAGGGGAGAGAGCGGGGCGCTGACTTTTGGAAAAGGCGCAGAGGTGGTGCAGGGGTTTATGTATGCGAAATGCGCGATTATTGTATTGCGGATACGGACACTGTTTGGGGCTTGACTTAGGCAAATGTCAAAGGAAGGAAGGTTAGGGATATTTAGAGAGAGAAAGGAGATGAGTTAGAGAGAGAGAGAGGGAGGTGATTTTTGGGTCGGTCAGCGAGAGATGAGGAGAGAGAGGGGCATGGTCAGCGTGGAGAAAGGAAAGCTGCCACCAGGGGACCGGTCGACCGCTGGCCGCATTCAGACATCGTTATCCCCACTTCTAGGGACCATCCACCACCTCTCTTTCTCTCTCCTCTCTCCCTCTCTCCCTCTCTCTCTAGCCGCACCTCTCCTCTTCCCTCTCCTGCTCTCTAATTCATGTGCCGCTTCTTCCTGCACAAACACTTATCTCTTCCACGCGGTTAGCACGCTCGACATGCCTGCCTACGTAGCAATGAGGTGAGTGCCTCTCAAAAATCTATTTTTTACATGGATTTTTTAACTCAATGACGTGTAATTTGTAATACGAAGATTATGATATAAAAAATTTATAAATTTTAAAAATTAAAAATAATAATTTTATGGATAAATTTTTTTATGTTTCTCACATTATATATTTCTCTTTATCCAACTTTCTATTGTGTATAGACAGTTGATATGGTTACAATCACAATGTCATGTTTCTACACGATTTTATTTTTAATTTTTTTTCTATATAATATTTTGATACCAAATTTTTGGGAGTCTAATCCTTTTTTAAAGTCACGCCTATAAAAAATATTCTTAATAAAATAAAATGACCGAAATGATCTTGAAAGTTTCAATAGGTATTTTAGTCATTATATCTTATCGAAACAAAAATTTAATTTTTTTTGGTACATCCCAATGAGAAGATGGCATGTACTATATTTCACATTTATATAATTAATATAAAAATAAATAGATTTAAGATGACAGATTTAGATCAAATGGTGAGTAGCCGAATAATAAAAAAAACATATATAAAAAAAAGTATAGAAATATTTTTTAAAATTTCGTTAAAAAAATAGTTAAATAGTTAGTTTCTATTATTTTTAAATAGACCACCTATATTTTCGTACGTCGCAAATGAAAAGTGCGGTCTAGCTCGCATGAAACAGTATTTTTGTCTTTCTTTCTCCCTCTTCGATCCATGGACGCCTAGCCTAGAGAGAGAAAGGTGTTAGAGGGGGGGGCCGTGTCTAGAGGGAGGGGGGTTTGAGGTGAAAAGAAGACGCGTGGGATTAGGGGGCAAACCAGCGTGTCATCGCCACGTGCGCATCCATTCAAGTTGCACGTTCGCATCAGCTTGCTGGCAGACGCCCTTCCTTCCACTCCTATCTCGCGCATGAGAATCACGGGGCCCACCCGCTTCTTTTTTCCCTTGGCCTCCCCACTAGAAAAGAGCATCGACGGCTCAGATTACACAGAGTTGTCTGTAACCAGCTCCGGTGCTCCCTCCTCGTCGGGCCGCTACAAATCACAACCGTTCGATGAATGTTTTAATGATTGGGTTAGACGTGCGTCCCACCATTTCCATGATGTTGCGCTCCCTCTCTTTCCGTGGTCCACATGACACCCTCTCTCTGTGTATAAATATAGAGGGTGCGGTTTCTACAAGGTTGCGACTTTAAACGATCCAATTAAAGCGTGCATCCAAATTTTGTTATAATGAGTAATTTTGGTGGAAAAAAAATTTAAGATTATTTGAAAATTTATTTTTATATCTAATTATAAAATTTTAAACTCTAAAAATACTTAAAATCAAGATCTATAAACATATGAAAATATTGAAAGTGGACGGTTGTTGCAAGATGTACTATTTTTTAGACTCAAAATCTTTTTGTTTTCTATATTCATATATCTCGATGTCAAGATGATTAATTAAAAGGTTTTTCAACATTAAAGCAATATTTTCCGATGCTTTTTGAGGT